TGTTGTTGTTTGTGTTATTATCATATGCAATTGAATAAGTAGACCATTTCGGAATTCGAAATTTGGGACTCTCAATGCATAATGGGACTCATACTTTTCCGATCATTGAGTCCCTGGGACTCGCTGCCGGTAAACTGTAAAATTATCACTGAGAGATTACCGCTTTTTCTGCAGTCAGTGATTGACTTCTATGCAAAGTCATTTCTCAACTTGTGTTCCGTGCCATGTGATGCCTGTTGAGTGTTGATTTACTTCATATTAAGAAACTACTGCACTAAAACATTCATTCATAAATGTATATCATATGATTTTATTTCTTTTTCTCAGTATAAATAACACGTACCCTGACTGTTCTACTCTTTGAATAAAAACACTTCATTCAAGCGTTCGGGAGTGCAAAGGGTTATGATGGAGGGGTGTTGCAAATCATGAGGACCTGCCAAGTGGTATGATAGCATTGTTTTATACATGTCCTTGGCTCGGCCTCAGTTTCAAAATCAGTCCTTGGTCCTTGGCCTTGGCCTCGGAAGCAAGTCCTTGGTCCTTGGCCTTGGCCTCGGAAAATTTCTCAAGTCCTTGGCCTTGGCCTTGCCTCGGAAAATTTTCCAAGTCCTTGGCCTTGGCCTTGGCCTCGGAGGCAAGGCCTTGGCCTTGGCCTCGGGTTGCCGGTCCTTGGACACAACACTGCTCATACTTATAATAAAGAATGCTTGGTGCACTGTGTGACAGTCAGGGGACACAACAACCTTTCCGAGAATGTGGTTGGAAAGATATAGGTAATAAGACAAAATAAGAGCATCATGGATGGAGCTGTCACCAACAGCTGAAACTTACTTGGTGTTTTTGTAATGATTGCACACATGTAAGTAATTTTCACATACACACACAGAGTCAAACAAGTTCCGTGTGTGTCTTCAACACACTTTTTTTATGAATGCCTAATTGATAACTGACAAGTTTGCATGATTCCCCGTGCCTACGTGGGTTTTCTCCGGATACTCCGGTGTCCTCCCACATTCCAAAAACATCCATGGCAGGTTAATGGAACATTCTAAATTGTCCCTACATGTGATCGCGAGTGAAGGTGGTTGTTTGTCTCTGTGTGCCCTGCAATTGGCTGGCAACTTGTTCAGGGTGTCCCCGGCCTAGTGCCCCAAGACAGCTGGGATATGCTCCAGCATGCCCGTGACCCTCGTGAGGATAAGCGGATTAGAAAATGGATGGATGGATGATGTTTTGCTATTTACAGTCTTTGTCTACATTGGGATCATCTCTGATGAGTGACATTGGGGTCCTTTTTTTTTCTGACTTCGGACCTCAGACCTCCGAGTTCAAAGCGGTGTTCAAAAATTCCATTCTGACCTTACTTGAGAAATGTTATAACGTAGGTCAACAATTAAATACAGGATATCTTCCCTGTCTTTATATCTCAATGCAGGGAAGTAGTGAATCACCAGTCTCAGAATCTAACCAATATTGAGATCGTGATATTGAAGAAGACTCGGCTGATCCAAGCTTTATTGGCCAGCAAGCACCACAGAGCATCAAACAATACGTATGGCTTACACAACTCATGACAAAATGGAAAATGTACATTTTATTCAGCATCGCATTCAAGAAAATGATAAAACATCTCAATACGTGTGGTGCTGAAACAGTTCACGTTTGGAAAAAAAAAAAACAAGAACGAATGCAAATGACCAAACCTCCTCTGAGAGCTAATTAAAACAAACTCACTTTAAAAACCGCAACTCAAAACCAAATAAAAACTAACGATAATGGATAATCCAAAACTATTACAACTGCGATAACAATGCTAGATATTCTAATTGATAGCAAAAATTAAAAAATTCAATGCGGTCAAGGAAAAGTAGATAAAATACATTTAGCCTTGGTACATGGACTCATGAAGCCTGACCAGATATCTCAGGGGTTAAGCTTCATTGATCACTTTTCATCTCATCAACACACTTGTGATTCTTAATCTGATATTTCCACATGAATCTTTTACCACAAACTGAGCAGGCAAAGGGCTTTTCACCAGTGTGGGTTCTTGTATGAGTCGTTAGCTGTCCCTTCTGAGAGAATCTTTGTCCACACACTGAGCAGGCAAAAGGTTTTTCACCAGTGTGCGTTCTTGTGTGTAATTTTAAGTACGCCTTTTGAGAGAATGTTTGTCCACACACTGAGCAGGCAAAAGGTTTTTCACCAGTGTGTGTTCTTGCGTGTAATTTTAAGTATGCCTTTTCAAAGAATCTTTGGCCACAATCTGAACAGACAAAAGGTTTCTCACCAGTGTGGGTTCTTCTATGAGTAGTTAAATGTCCCTTCTGAGAGAATCTTTCTCCACACACTGAGCAGGAAAAAGGTTTCTCACCAGTGTGTGTTCTGGTGTGTGTTTTTAAGTTTCCACTCTCAGAAAATTTTTTACCACAAACTGAGCAGGCAAAGGGTTTCTCACCAGTGTGGGTTCTTCTATGGGTAGTTAGCTGTCCCTTCTGAGAGAATCTTTGTCCACACACTAAGCAGGCAAAAGGTTTTTCACCAGTGTGGGTTCTGGTGTGTTGTACTAAGTCTCCCTTCCGAGAGAATCTGTGGCCACAAACTGAGCAGACAAAGGGTTTCTCATGAGTGTGCGTTCTTGTGTGAATTGTTAAGCTTCCCTTCTGTATGAATCTTTTGTCACATATTGAGCAGGCAAAGTGTTTCTCACCAGTGTGGGTTCTTGAGTATAATTTTAAATGATGGTTCAGAGAGAATCTTTGGCCACAATCTGAACAGGCAAAATGTTTCTCACCAGTGTGGGTTCTTGTGTGACTCATTAAGGTTTCCTTCTGAGAGAATTTACGGCCACGGTCTGAACAGGTGAACGGTTTCTCACCAGGGTGGGTTCTTGAGTGTCTTATTCGGTTTCCTTTTTGAGAGAATTTCCGTCCACAGTCTGAACAGGTAAACGGTTTCTCACTAGTGTAAGTTCTCACGTGTAATTTCAAAGCACTCGTATGAGTCAACATTTTGCCACAATGAGAACAATTCCAGGGTTTGTTGTTCGTGTGACATGTCAGATCGCCATCACACTCTTCATCCTCATCCTCCTTATCATAATCATCATTATTATCATCATCATCATCAACCATGTTTGATGATGTGCCATCACCATCTTCCATGCAAGGGTGCTCTAGCTCCTCCTCTTTTTTAATGTAAAGGGCTTGCTCCTCTTCTTCCTCTTTAAAGTGGGAGATCTCTCTGCTCTCCTCTTCTTCTTTAATGTGAGAGGGCACTGCATTCTGCCTCTCAGGACAAACATCTTCGCTGATGTCTGAAAGACACAAAAAGACAAACACGCGTAGAATTATGGTTTATAATTTCAACCAAGGCTTCTTGGAGAGCCAGATGAGTTCAGATTAAGATTCACTTTGTGACATGAGCAGAATCAGATTGGTGGTGGAATTATTTCTTTCTTTGTTTATTTTTATCCCTTGTGGTGGTTTATTTAATTCTTTTTCATTCTTGGTAATTTGTGGAAATACAGAGTCTGGCATGGCAGATTTTTGAGTGGTGGATAAGTCCAAAGTGCAAATTCGACCTTGGACTGCCAGTCCCACAGCACTGTGGAGTGTGAAGGGTTCAAGGAAGTGATTCAGCTCCTTGAACCCCCATATGTTTGGCCAACAATAAAGGCTTGTGTGGAAGTTACATTAAGCGGTAGTTGGTATGACCCCTTATGATGTGAAAGATGAATGGATCTAAGTTTCCCTTGCCCGAACGCGGGTCACCAGGGCCCCTTTCTGGAGTCAGGCCTGAAGGTGGGCCTCGCTGGCGAGCCCCTGGTGACCGGGCCGACACCCATGAGGCCCGGCCGAGCTCAGCCCAAAAAGGCAACGTGGGTCCCCCTTCCCATGGGCTCACCACCCATGGGAGGGGCATAAGGGGTTGGCTGGTATGTGAGCTGGGCGGCAGCCAAAAGCGGAGACCTTGGCAGTTTGATCATCGGCTACAGAAGCTAGCTCTAAGGAGCTGGAACGTCACCTCTCTTGCTGATATAGACAAACTCAACGTTATCATGTTTAAAAGTTTCATTTTGTTGTATGCTTCATTCAACTGACCTCGAACGCGTGTGTTTAGAGCAGTGGTTCTCAATTATTTTCTGTCATGCCCCCCCAAGGAAAAGGAAAACATCTCGCCCCCCCC